GCCCCGCCGCGCCGCGGAGCCTCCCCCGCGCCCGGGGGAGCTCCCAGTCCCTGGAGAACATTCAGGGACTGCCCCCAGGAGCAGGTTTCGCTGCTGCTCTTACTGCCCGTCAGTCCTCTCCACCTTCCCGTCCTATCACAAAGCCACTGCGTCGCCACTGCTCACATCCCAAAGAAACACAGCTAAACAGAAATCTAAAGAGAAAACGGTTCAGATGCAAATAAAAACATATTAGACATTTTCCACTGCATTTTGGATATACATTAAATACACATGCTGTCTCGCTATGAGCTATAAATACTTCTACACCATATAGATTAATAACAACATACATGCTTTCTTTTATATTTTCTCTTTATTACATAAGTTTTCCCCCCTCTTTCAGAGTATGACTTCTGGGGTCAAAGGTTTCTGAACAGGACATAGTCACTTACTAGTCACGTAATTATCTTTCAAATAGGAAGACTGAAAATTAAACTAGCAGAGATGTATCCCAGGTGTTCCTTTCTGTAGCTTATATGTTCTCTCAAGAATAAAAACCGTAATTCTGTTCTTTGAAGTTATTATGTAAGTTGATAAATCAAGCGAAGCTCTTTCCCATTCCATCAGCAGCTTCTATTTCCATGTAGTTTCTTCACCAGGTTTCAGTTCTCTGTATAGAAAGGAGAATAAAATTAGGATAATTTCTGTAGAATACTTACTAATAAATGCAAGTTCTAATAATGAGAAAAGACCTTGATATAAATATTAATTGCTACAGAAACAGTGATTGAGATTTGTATTGAGCATAACAAATAAATTTTACTTTCCTTCAAAGTGTTGTCAGTTATTTTCTTCACTATGAATTAGGTTTTCTCTTTTTCTTTCCAAAGCTTCAAAAAATTGAGTTCAATTAGTTTAAGTGGGAGCACTGAACAGGTAATGCCTAATACGTTAATGATTTTTTTGCATAACAGAGTACCTACTTATTTTGAATAGAAAAAAAAAACCCATGAATTTTATAGGAGCAAAATTAGGTAAAAAGTCGCGAGAAGTTCTTGCAACCTATTGAAACGCCCATGCAACTTAACCACTGATGGCCGTGAGGAAAGTGCTAATCTATAATGCCACGAACAGTGCTGTTACCTTATTTTCTTACTCAAAGTGACACTAAAGTAAAAAAGTCATCTGCACACCATGTATGCCAACATTACTACTTTTCTTCCAATCTGTGATAGATTAGAATTATTAGTTATGCAAAATGGTTTTTTTCTGTAGTTTAGTGAACTCTACAGCTTTACACAGACTGAAGAGATCAGATCTAGATGAAGCAAATATTGTTACCTCAATTCTCCCTAAAAAGTGAGCCAGCAAGCATGGGCTACAGTCAAATGCTCAGTAAAGCCACAGCAGCTGCTAACATTAAACACTTTAAATACAGATGTTGAGTTAATTTTAAAAATATAATTATTTAAATAACATGAATTTATGAAAGTATTTACATGCTAATACATGTTGTCACAGTTTTAAACTTAAGACAAATTTTTGCTACAATACACCAAGAAGGTTTAAATTAAAGGAAAAACAAACAAACACTATGTACTTCTGCAAAGGTGTTAGAACCAAGATAAGCTTTGCGCATTTCGTGATTAAGCATTTGACAGCAATTAATATAATTAACAACCTTTGGAAAGCTAAAGCCTTTTCTGCCATAGTTAAAATATATTCCTTTTCCTCTTTGACTTCAAATCAATCCATTCATTAAAATGGAAAACTAGCAGGAAGCTAAAAGAGGTCACTTTGATTTTCAATACACAAATAATAAAATGAAAGAGGTTGCACTTCCCCACCTGTAGATTCATCAAGGACATGGAGAACAAGTAATTTCATATCTATAGACTACTCTCCTAACTTAGAAAGTTACTTTTAAATTATGTTTATAGCTCTGAACCTGTTTATCACATTTAACATTATTCTGTTACGTAAACCTTGTCAGAGCTCTGGTATTCTGCTTTAGAGGACTTAAGCAAAGGAAAGGATAGAAGAATGGTTTCGAGGTCCTCTCCTTTTCACATGCTTTCGCCAAGTCTAAGGTATAGAAAAATCCTATCTTATATATTCTGCTTCAAAATACAGATTACACTTATGTTTGGAGGGGTATTTTTATTTCTATCTTTCAGGATTATTAGTAATATTGCAAATAGTGTTACTTTTATTTTAAAAGGAACCGTGCTAAACAGGGACAATTCCTGTACAGTGACAACTAAGATGTCCATGGTAATTCCATGTAATCCCAAGTAATTCTATGGTAATTGCAGTGTAAAGGATGAAGTACAATGACAGTAAAAGTTTTATCTGTTTTTGAAGATTTTTTTTCATAGAAATGTTTCTTGTTTATCTGCATATTAAGCTTCCTTTTACTTTTTGGTTTTGAGTTTATTTAGTACATCCCCTTAGTAAGTCTATTTACATATAAAGTGTCTTAAGGTCTACTAATCCTTCCATTTGTTTACTTTGTTTTCAAGAACAACATTTATCTAAGAATAGCTACTTTAAGTTAATTATTTCAACTAACTGGTCAAACAGACAGAACTCTATACTTTTTTTTTTTTTCCCCACAACTAACAGCACTAAAATGGAGGCTAAAGCCCAGATTTTCAGTAAGCATTTGTGACCCAAAACCCTTAATGAAGGTTGGCTGATGCTTTTACGGAATTTTTCCCCTTAATATTTTGACAGCATTACCTTGATATATATATGTATATATACTTAAGACTGTCAAAAGGAATAGAAACACTTTTAAAATCTACTTTGCAAGACAACATATATATGTTATGAAATGGTATCATAAACGAACCTTCTGTATAGCAAGCTCTTGTTTCTGAAGGTTGACAGCTTTTCATCATTCACTCTGTCCAGGTAACACCCAATCACAAATCCGAGGGGCACAAAGATGTGAACCCAGTGGTTACGGACAGCTTGCATGAAATTCACCATGGCTGCTGCAAAGAGAAGTGCAGCAGAGCAGAGTTACCGAGAAAGCTGCACAGGGAAACTGCTGCAACGAAATGCCTTCAGCCTTACATGCTGGTATAATATCATCGCCAGGGATAAAAAATGCATGAGGGCCGTCAGACCCTTCATGCAAGACAAACGCTCAGAAACAGCCACGGCTAGCTGTGCTGCTGGGAAACAGCATTTTACCCCGCAGCAGGGCAGCGGACATTCTCCATGTACCGCTGAGCTAACAGAACCATCTACCCAGGCCGCGCCGCCCGCGCCAGGGCCCTC